CAATAATAATCACTGCAGATTGACATATGACAGGGGCAATGACACCAACAGAGGGGGGGGGGGGGGGTTTCGAATCAAAATATTACCACTCAAAGTGGAAAGCTACTTATTTTTTGAAGGAAAGGGTGTTGTTGCTGGCTCCACGATGCCTTTGTTGGCTTAACTGAAAACTCAAAATACAACCAAATAAACTTCAAGGCAAGATCAAAACACTTCCCGTGTTATCCTGAAATACGCTAAATTGGAGTTAAAATATATGTTTATGTGTTTTTTAGCTAAAGCTTCTGTCTTAGGAAGGGAGTATCAGGATAGAGAATCCGATTAGAGGAGCAGCTGACAAAACAATTTCATCTTCCATCTGCTCATTACCAGGAACGAGTCTGAACATTTCTGAAGGGGAATGCGCTGACAGATGCATTCGCCTTCTATCTGGTCTCCATTCAGGGCTCCATGCTGTGCGCTGCTTTACACACTGTAGACGGTTTACAACAGAGCCGTTGTAAACCGTCTGCTCGGATGCAGATACTGCATTAAAAAACACATTATTAAATCTATATACGGTTCACAAAAGATCTTTTCCATTGTACAAAGTCAAGAAAGGGAAAAGAGTGACAAAAACAGAACATTGAATGATCACTCCCCTACTCTGAATGTAATCTTTTTCATTAGTGAACATTTGTGGGATCCTATTATCCTCTTCTTTGCGAAATCGTATCACTTTTGTTGACGGAATGATTTGATTTCGCTGAGGGAATCAATAACTCAATGGCTCAATCAGCACACTACACGCTGCCACCGGCTACACTGGGTGTGGTAATCTAGATGTAAAATATGTAAAAGAGGGAAAAAACTACAGATGCTGCAAAAAGGTCATGACGACGAAGTGATGCATTTTAAGTTGAACTTTTGAAAACTGTGGGCAGCCGAAAATTACAACTCGTTATCTCTCTACGCGGACCCAAATGTAATAGGTAGTATTTACTTGTTCTAGCTGTAATTTAATAAACTATTATTGAGCTGGTAGTTTTCAGTTGTGTTGTAGAGTACTAATGTTAGTGTCCTTATGAAAAAAAGTGATAGGTATTTTTAAATGAAGAAGAGCTGCGTGGATTAGCTACACAGTTGTAATCCAGATTAGTTGCATCAGCAATTTTCTTTACATTCTTGTTTCATGAACAATTGAAATCTCTTCCTTCCTAATAATTAGGGAAGATAACAGGTGGCATCCTTCATTCTCGAAACATTGTTTAAACTCTTAAATAAGAAATATGGAGCTATTACACAACGGAATTAGTTTTGCTTCATCAAGTTCCACAAACATGTTTAATGTGAGGCTTTAATGCCTCTTGTACAGTTTATTGATTGTCTCCTGGTGCTGAGTGCAACCTGACACCCAACAACTCTCATTTCAGCTCCACTTTTAGACACGTGACAACACAACGGCCTATCGATTGGCAGCAAATGCATTATTGATCTCTTTCAGTTAGTATCCTCCTTTCATCTATTTTTTATTTTGCAAGTAATTATGTATATTAGTTCAGCAGCCACCACCCGCCGTATCTTTACCAATTTGGGTCGCTTTTTGCGGCCAGTTTGTGCAGCACTCACAGGGTAATTCATGATCAATTAATTTGTAACCTCCCCCACAACTTAATCTTTTTTTTAATATTTAGTAACAGACACACCGACTTATAGACACTACAAAATATAGGGAAAAAAATAAGGGAAAATGTTGTGTCTTTACCTTTCAGTTCAAGAAAAGCTCAGGAGATAATATTTCAATTGGGTATCTTATAATAAAGATCAAAGTTCAAGCAGCAACACTAGCTGGAGAAAATAGGCTTTACGATATCCATGCATTAAGAGACGTATAACCATTACATCACTGACAGGCCCTGAGTGGGAGGCGAGGAGAGATGAGTGACGATCACTCAGCCGTTCGCTCTGACCAATTAAGCGATGACAAGTAACTGCAGAAGCAAATTGCAACGGAATATTTCTGAGGCACTCAGGGGTCATTTTGCGAGATCTCAAATAATAAATAAAGCTGTAACTGCCTGACACACCACACACACACACACGCACACACACAGGTGTGAACCAGAGATCAAAAGGCCATGTGGATGGAAACAGGAACATCAGTGTGATGTGATCGGTTTCCCCCCGGCAGCCATTTAGAATACAGATGTTGAAATGTCCCCATGTGTCTCTGTGTGGAGACATTTGCTTTTCATATACGCATACCCATATACACATACCTTTTAGTTATACCTTTTGGTCTTTTCACAGGATTTGCTGACTACAGGAAATATATAGAATATCGCCAGCTTCCTTCTTAATAAATTATTCAGAGAAACCAACTTCTGATGAACCTAAAAACTTTTCTTTTTAAGCATCAGGTAATAAAGTGATAAATTAGGCGCCACCTCCCTCTTCATATTTCACGTTTTGTTGCCAGGCATAACTCCAATGCAGTCTAATAGTGTATGTATATAGAAATAAATCACCCAGGAGCAACGCAGAACTTCTCCCTCCCTCTACTTTCCCCACATTCGTCCCAACTCTGTGGCTAATGCTTACCCGTCGAACAGGGACATCAGATGCTCCATTAGCAGTGTTTCCCATGTTGAAGGGAGGCCGTTGCTTTGCATGGGAATCCTGTTAGGCTTCTTATTGACATCGTGTTTCATTAACTTGATTAATGACATCTATTGGGCCCTGCTCCAAAGTAATCAACATCTGTAGCCAGAGGAGCTGTCTGCGGTCAAAGATGGGACTCTCTGATCTTCTTCTGCCCGAACCTGATTATTCTCTCTGTGTCCTGTTTGTTTTCAAAAGGCTGCACTCAAAAAAGCATTTCATGTTCATGAATACCAAACTAGACACCAAGATGATCATCATGAACTTTCCATTTTAGAAAACTGAATGCGTGTTTCAGAAAAATAGGCCTTATGAAAGTAAAGAAATGAACAATAAGTAAAGAAATGAACTGGATTCATATCAGCCAGGATATAATACATCACTTGAGATGTTCCATTTGAATTATTTGCTGACTCAAGGGCCCACTCTCCTGCTGTTTGCTTTCATTTATTCAACATTTAAATAGAATTACAAGATGTGCATTGAGCGTCTTCTGTAAGTGTGGAAGCAAAGAAGGGTCAAGATGAGGCTGTAAAATCATATACACTATACATTTATTTCAACGTATTACATTGCTAATAGGGTACCTTCTGAGTTAGTATTTGAAGGCCAACCGGCTCAGTTGCATTTTTACACAACTGATTTTTTCCTGAAGTGTTTTGTTTTCTTTCTCCATCTCTATGCATCTAGTCTCATAACTCCCTTTAGGAGGATTGACATCCCGGGTGAGTGCACGAGAGATGAGAAGCCGCTCGCCTTCAAATGCCCCAAGAACCGGAGCCCCGGAGGCCAACGGGTTACCTGCTCCAGGCACTCTGAGATACAAAAGCAAAGATTATGAGACCCCCCCTCCTGGAAATCGTATTTACCTTTCATCATCTGCTTTTTTTCCCCACATTGTACTCAGTTATATTTGCTAGCCCTCTTAAGGGAGAGGTGAGCTGGTGCAACCCCCAGCAGGTGGATGCCGGGCTGCCGGGGCTGCTGGGAGCTGACTTGGATCATTTTTCATGGCGCATTTTGCTCAAAACAACGCTGGCAAAGTAAGAGTGCTGGTGCAGCAGCAAAATAACAGTGAATATACAAAAAAGGCCTTATGTATCAACATAAAATCTTTGCACAGTAAAGGGATTTTCGGGCTTAATGCTGAAAAAGCCCACTAGTGGGAAACATTTCAATTAAGGGTTCAAAGCCATTGCATTGGCAGGAAAACATTCAATTACTAAGATTTGATAAGTTTGATTAGAGAAATTGTTATCCACTCAGAGCTGAAAACAAACTTGGCCGGAACTCTACGATGATTAAACTCCATAAAATTCAGCATCTATTAGGTTCCATCCCTTTTTCATTACACTCGTGCTTCGCCAAACGAAACACTCAAACTCCTGGGGAGATCTTTTAGCAGTCACTTTGTGGATCGGGGGAAAATGGGAGTGGATCCCGACCCTTTTGCTGCAGTCTAACGGAAAGGTCATGCTCCACTTATGGAGAGAAGTTACTTTTCTCAAATTCACCCTCATCTTCATCCTTCTTTTTTTACTTATTGACCCTGTACATTAAGCCCCTGGGCTGATTTCTGAAACAGACTAAAGTCTTTCAGATCTGGGGGTTATTCTTGGGTTGCTGGGATCAATGTTTTTTGAGAGAAAGCTATTTCTACTTTCAAAGACTTGGCTTCAATCCAAAAGCCCATTTTCTGGTTTCTTACAAGCTATTTTCGAACACCTGATGACATAAAACTCCCGAACAAACTCAGAAATTCAATACTGGCATTCCGTCAACTAAAAATGTTGTCAAAGCTAATTTGGCCTTAGACATCCAGAGCACACAGAGCCACGTGAGAATCCCATTGATCTCCATCTTCACCAGATAACTTCTGTTAGATACTCAACTTTTATGAAATGAAAATATATAGTTCAGCTTTGTGTGATTTTTTTGAGGCAGGAAGTATCCACTTTGTTGGTCTGAAAATGGGTTTCTGCAGTTTATTTCTGGACCAGGGGACGAAAAACAATCAGTCTTAAGAAACCAAACACTGCTACCGTCTACACGAAAAAAGAGTGTGACTGAAAAAAAAAGCTTTCATTTCCACCAGTCGATCCATTATAACAACCTTGTGAGCATGCAATAATGAAGCACAAGGAATTACTGTCATCCCAATCCCTTATTAGTTTAACTGCCTGTCTGTTCAATGCTTAATAACAAATAAAAGTCATTTTGATTTCCAGTTAAAGTATCAGATTTTTTTTTTTATAAGCTTTACCGATTTTTCTAAAATACACAACGGCTGCAGGACATAAAACCCTCCCGGGTCCGGTGCTAGACACGCAGGGATGATACATGAGGCCAGGTGTGCTTACCGTCCTCCCGGGACTTCTGAATGAAGGCGTCGACGCCGCTTTCTCCGTAGTTCCCCTCCGAGGCCACTGTGGAGACGTAGTTCCAGCGCATGGCCTTGACAATGTCCACCATGGCCTGGGCCTGGTAGGTGTCCGGAGGCACAACGCGGGAGAAGAAGTCGTAGCGGGTGTTGTCGCTGAGCTCCGGGGCTGTGGAGGCGTAGCTCACCTGGGGTATCTGCACGGGAGAGAGAACATTGATGACATCAGGAGCGCCGGCGTAACGTCTGGGGAAAATGGGGCGGGACGGGGAGAGGAAAGTTTTAAGGGCGAAGCGATTTGTCTTCCGTTGCACCTTTCAACAACACGGTACTTCAAAATGCTTCACACAGGGGGAAGAAAACCTTTGAGACAAAGATCTACCGAAACACAAACGTGTGATTCAATACCATTAAACGGATTAAACGGTAAAACAAACACAACGCAACATTAATAGTCAGGGAAAAATGAACTGATTGCAATTCACTAACTGCAAAACTAGCTAAAAGCTCCAGGGACAGAAAGCCGACCAATCTGAGAGGTCAGGGTGAGGCTCTGAAACATGAAGCGCTTTGTAGACCAAAGACAAAGCCGGTTTCAAAATGTGACAAATGGTTTGAAGCCATCAACTTTGTTCCCACGGAGATGCGAGTGAACACAACACACAACGCAACAGTAGTGGAGATGAACACATGGAATCTTGCTGAGATGCAAGTCCTTGAGACGAGACTAAATAATCGCTATTCCTTATTCCCCTGAACCCTCACCGAGTCTTTAAACGCCCCCCACCCGGTAAGGCCCCTCCCCACCTCCCAATGCCGCAGCGGGCTGGAGAGTTCACACTCCCAGAGGATTAGCGCGTCAGATTCAGGCGTAGGGGTCACCTGCTTCACACGTCTTAACACATGTTTCACACCCAGCAGAATGTGCCTGCTTGGCCGTAGCATCTTTGACAGGGTACATGATGATGAGCAGCTTTTAAAAGAGTGAAGCTTCGTAAACGCAAGGTCTCGCGTCACGGCGGGCTTCTGTTGCTCCAAAGATTTACTGATGCGCGTGCTGAAGAAAGCACAAAGTTACATAAGAGGCGTCAGTCGGAAAATAAATAGGTCAGCTGAGGCACGACGCCGGTCTTCAGCGACCATCATTTTGATTTTCTGGTGGTGGTTGTCGTCGTGTTTCGGCATTTTGTATCCTTACATGCTCACGGAACTTTCCTAGTGATGATATGCCCATTCGACCAGGGACTGTTGTCATTGTCTTGCGTCCCTAAACAAAAAGAGGAGACGGTGAAACATAATCCTCGTGGAAAAACAGCCACGTTTTCACTCGTGAGGCCTCTTTCCCGCATGTAGCATTTCATTATCGCAGACACCAGACTGGCAGCCTGTGAAACAGATACCCCCCTCCATCACACACACACATTAACTTATCATCATCAAGTAAATGTTCATTGCACAAATGTGGCATTGAGAGCACACGTGTTCAAATCTCCCTTCTTCATTTACGCACAAAAGGAAAGGAGTCCAACATTGAGCAAAAAGAAATTGGGTTGATTTGAATTGACGGCGCTTTTAGTTCCCGCGGTTGCTTTTGCCGGCTCTCCCCAGTAACCAACGAGCAGCAGCGGATTGCGGATAGCGGATGCTGGGACAAGTGATTCTGGAAAAACTGAACACAGCCGGTCCCGTTTGTCCCCTGTTGGTTTTTCTGCCGGGTTTGGAGGGAAACAGCAGCATGAAAGTTGCTATCCTGAGATGGTTTCACTAAGAAACGTTGTATTTTACAACAACAGTCCACATTGTGTTCTGGGTCAGTAAGACAGCAAATGAACAGTATGCACATTTCTTGTTTATATTCTGTGTCTTTGACTTAATATAGTAATAGATACTCACTCTATGCTACGTGCTGTTTTAGGGTTTGTCTAGTTTGTGTGTTTTGTTTCATGTTGGATTGAAAATGTCACTCTGTCCAAATTCCATATTATGAACTAATTAAGCAGGTTTTTTATTTATTCAACGTAGCCTATCAATAGTAAAAGTGTGATAAGATAAAGAACACTGAAAGGAGACAGAACGCATAATAGATACAGTCACATTTTGAATTGTATTTACTCTTTTCTCCCATAATGCAATGCACTAAAGGGAAATAGAGAACCGGTATCAAGAAAAAATTGTTGCTTGTTGGTGGTGAAGTTTATCCAGCACAACACAGTTCAAAATATATTTATAGATTGTGAACTAAGTTATATATAGGATGTTGTACATATAATGCACATTTACTATGGATTAGGAACAAAGCTTGCGTATTCTGTTTGGTTTATCTTTGGTTTTAAATGCAACCGAACCAAACCAATAGTTTTAGTATCTTCACCTCATTCTATGCAGGATCGGTGATGAAAAGTCCCCGAGGTAAATCACTTCAGTAAAAGGACCTGGAGATGATTCGCCAAGAGAGCCTCAGCAGGGGAAAAACGGGGATATGGAATACATTCTGAAATAATGGAAATGTGTATTCATGGGCTGGAATTTCAAGAGTTCCCCTATGAAAGCCTAACAGATTGAGGCTATTTAGGGAAGAATAATACATACTTCATGTAACTAAAAGGCTCCTTGAGAAATGTTTCATGAGCCTTTTGACCGTCTTGTTCTCCATTACTGTGATGTTTCTATCTCGGTCTTTAGGCCTTTCCGTCAGCACTTTAAATGCATTTTGTAAAATGTCCTTGTAATCAAAGTAATTGTTTGATTACGTTATCGCCATTAAAAATCTTACTAATTACAGGCTTGGTGTGCCCTCCTCTTCATCCAGCTGCTTCTTTCATATTCCTTCACAAATTAGGAACAAAATGGACCTGCACTGCACCAAATGATCAAGAATAAATGGAATTCTTTAATAAGAAAACATTTGCAGAACATGATTCACGTATCAAGGTCAGCACAATGTTGTCGTCTCTCGGCATCTCAAGAGTGCATTTTTTTGAACGAGGTCTTTCAACAGAAAGCGAATAAGGGTTGAGAGTAGAAGTTTGTTCTTCTGCTCGCCATGTGACTTTCAGACAAGAAAGAGACATTTCAGACAAGAATACCAGATTTCTGTGACACTGCATCAGTTTCTGTGAAGGTGATAATCGGCTGTTTGCTGGCAGCGATGTAAAAGTGTTCATAAATAACAGAATATTGCATTGTTACCACCTGAATGTTTCCCAATGTGGAAAAACACATTTAAAGCCACTCAAGAAAAGCAGTTAGTCATGTGAATTCTGCAGGTCCCTCAGCTCCTTTAAATCCAGATTAAAGACTTTTCTGTTTGCTGCTGCCTTTAATTGACCGTTTCTGTAAGTCAGAATTCTTAAAGACATTTTTTATCCTTTTAATGACTGTTTTTCTATTATGTTTCAATGTACCAATGTCCTTAACTGTTATAAATCAGTTTATGTTTGGATGTTTTTAATGGTTATGTGTGAAGCACTTTGAATTGCCTTGTTGTTGAAATGTGCCTCGCCTGTCTTAATGTGTACTGGGTTACTGCAGCACCTGTTTCACCTCGGATTTGATTCTCGACACTCTCTGGGAATCCAGTGCAGCACAAATAGCTTGAGTAGCTTTAATAACCTGTTCTAAAGTTTTAAAGTTTTACCATTGTCCTTGGCCACTCTCCAAAACAATAATGAGACATAGAAATACTGTGCTGCATCCCCTGGCCTGGTGGAGTTCTTAGTGACCGTCTTGCGCCACACACACACACACACACACATCTCTCTCGCCTGGCTGGTTCAGCATCCTGTTCAGGTTAGGATCAACTTAACGATGATAATGTTGGGACCCGGGGTGTAGTGTGAAGTATTTTCCTGGGCAAATTATGCCGTGATGCAAAACCGCTGACTATATTTGCATTTGTAATCGAGGCACCTGACAGATCCTTGCAACCTGCAGCGCGTTGCAATAGCAGAGCATCTGCTTCAATCACGCTGTATATGGAAAACATGGATGAGTAAACAGGGTTTATCCCCACTACTTGGCAATCTTATTCCAGCACAAAAGAATGCAGTTTTCAGCCAGCCAAGCTGTTTTCCTTCAGGACCTGGACATGTGATAACAACAATATAACGCCAAACAATTTGAATAGTCCGATTCGATTTTCACATTACACAACAAAGACGAAGGGACGATGAAGGCTGAGAAATCATTAGAAGTTTGAGTTGAAGGATGCACTCACACTCCAATGCAACGCCGTGTCCCGATAATGGTTTCGCAATATTCCATTGACTTACCGGTGGTGGTCCAGGGGGAAGACACACAGCAGTTCTACTTTGACAATGTGAGACGAAGAAGCAGCAAGCAAGCTTTTTGCTAGGATGATCTCAAGTGACAAGTTATGGATACATTTGGTTGGCGATAGTCATGCCTTTATGAGAGAGAAAAATAGAAAACTGCATTAAACTGCTCAGGAGGCCACCTGCCGTCTTTCTCCTCAGCACAGCCTATATTTTTGTGCAAAAGCCATTTCACAGCGTTGTCGGGCTGCGTTAATGTGAAAACAAGCAGCAGAGCTAATCAGACAGTAAAACATCCGCCGGGCTCCAACGTCTAAACAGTTTAAGGTTTTCTTCTCCACCAACGGTAGGGTTTGTCTCACTTTTTGACAGAGAGCCGCCGAGCAGAAGCCCCTCACTCACAAAGCAGGAGCTGTGTGTGTGTGTGTGTGTGTGTGTTGGATGCAACAGCTGCTTTTTTTATTATCATCATACTGTATTTGTCAACGGGCCAAACTGCAGGGAACTCACTTTATTCACGGAGAGATAACACCGGCAGTTTTCTGCCCCAGCTTCACGTAGATTAAATTCACTGAAATGATGACGTCTAATTTGTGTTGTTTAGCTATGTAATGGCCACTCACGGCGATAGTAGAGCCTCTAATGAAAACAACAATAACTATGACAAAAAAAAACTTGAATACGTGCTCAACGTCGGCACTAAAACAGACAATAGAGACCCGCTGAATTATTTCATTCACGCAGCTTCTTAATTCAATTTAAAGGCCTGAAAAGAAATTTGGGCCTGGACAGCGGCTGCGTGGAGAGAAGTGGTTTATATTTTGCAGGGAGGGATGCGCGTCAGCTCCCTCGGTCGAACGCACCCCTTCAGTATCAAGGCCTTCTCCTTAATTGCTATCAGCTGCTGTCGGCACTGAGGGGAG